GCTGGGACTTAGGTTAACGACTTCTGGAAAACGTAAACTGAAGCCCATGCGCTCTGCAAGTGGGCTTTCTTATTCCCAATGCTTATCAGGACAAGAGGACGACCGTCAGGTCAGACTGCATTGCGAAGGTTCACTTTTCATCTTAAGTGATTATATCTATTTCACACTTGTATGAGTCCAGACTGTGCCAAATAAAACACAATGCGATAATTTTTTTGAAAAGAAAAAAGTTCCATTGTTTGCTTGTGGAGGGTTACCACCAGGTGACCCAGGCCAATGGAGGTGAATTCACAACCGGGGTCTTCGGTTAGCCAAAGCCTGACCGGCAAGGCATCGGTTTGTGGGAAAACTGCAATCCATTGGGAGCCTGTGTCAAAAACGGTTTTGCGTAGATTGTACCATCAGTGAAACCTCACCCATCAATGGCATTTTGTGTCGCGCCACACCGAGGATTTGCACAGAAGTTGGACGGATTTTTGTTGGAGACAGATAGACCGAAACACTTCAGTAGAAATGATAGCTTCCGTACTTACTGCGTCAGCAATGAATTTGTGCTTTGTGCCCGACTGTAATGTCGCATCCTTGTATAGAAATTTACTTTTGGATTGCGTCTTTTTCGGCTGATGAATGTGCTAGATTGCAGCATGGTTGTTTGCAAACTCTCCGGATGTGGCCAGTTTTTCCGCACGCATGACACTTGGCATTGCGGAATCAACAAGTGGAGATCAAGTGGTAAGCTCCGCATGACAGACACGGGCTGATATGTTTATCGTTGCCGGAAGGGTCACGTTGTGGCTTCAATTTGTGTTTGGTCACTGGAGATCGGATCGATCTCTGTTTCTGCCGTTGGATCAAGGTGACTGCTTCACTGGAAGTCGCTAGCAAGAAGTCATCATATTGTTCACAGGTCTGCAAAAAATAGATCCTTCTTCTCTAACAAATTCCGTTGGAGTGTCAAGTTGTTTATGGCTGACACCCGTCGCAGTTGTTCCTCTAACGGATCACCGTAATTGCAGCGCGCTGCTTGCTTGTTCCGCTGCAGGATGAAATCGCGCCACGAATCAAATAAATGAATTTCACCCGTTCATGTAGTCGAGCAGCAACCTCCTCAGCGACTCGTACGGTAGTTTAGCCTGAGCCTCAGGAAACACCGAGTTCTTCAGTAGAAAATAGAGGTCACGGCTGCCCGCCGTGAGAAATAGGGCTGTCTGGTTCTGTGCACCACATTTGAGAATAATGCACCCTTTGGAAACTCTATCTGTCTGTAACGGCAAAATAGCATCTCCACTGTTGAAATCATTCAGAAGGTAGAAGGAACGATCGTATAAATCTAGAGACTCAGCGGCTGTCAAGTATTACACCAACTTGATCAAATCTGAAGTCAAACGCCTCTCAGTATCGTACGCCTCCCAGCTTCTACAATGAAATAACAGTAAGCGAATTTGCCAAGGTACCAAATTGCTGTGTGGGACCAAATCCAAAACGCCGGATTTGGACAGCGTTCATGCCGCAGTTATCCACTCATCAAGCGGTACCATCACGCCATTTGTTCTGGACGATGCCGTTTAAGTAGAGGCCGTCTCGAAAGAACCTTTTGAGCTTTTGCGTACCGTGAAAACCATGGTCCCGATGGTCTTTCATCTTCTCTTGTGAGATATGGGGTCTGTTCTCCCAGTGAATTATTCACATCATTTTTGAACAGCTCCTTAAAAACATGCTCCATACCCGACTGTTGAAAACCAGTCACAATTGTTTCCATTCCCACATCCTCTACTTCAAACGTTTTAACCTCTGTTGGACTTAAGCTAGCAGAACGTGTTGTTCTTACATGCATTCAGTCCTCCATTGATGTCCCGTATGATCCTCTTCAGTTTGCTTATAAACCAAATAGATACACGCTAGATGGAGTTTCCTCTTTTACATAAAATTACCAAATCCTTGAATGACTATCCGAAATCTGTGCGTTGTGTTTCTCGAATACTCATCTGCTTTTGATTCTATTCCTCGTTCCCTTCTTCGCAAACTGCAGACCTTTGGTTGTCCTAGACAGCTACTAGTTTGGCTTGCCGACTACTTCTACGGGAGAACTTAATCTACCAGGTTAGGTCGGAAGAAATCTAAACCATTGTTGAACAATTCTGGGGTACTTCAAGGTACAGTTCTTCCCCCATACTTATTTTCTACGTACATTGGTGACTTGTCTGCTGTCTACTTCTGTCTTCAAATACGCTGACGATGTGATTTTGTCAGGGCATCTCCGACTCTTCTGATCTTTCACAATTGTATGAAAACTTGAATAACGTTCAACGGTTTTCCGCCACATATGGCCTATCTCTTAATCCCTCGAAATTTTTTTGAATCTCTTTACGTTATCATGCTCTTCCTCCCCACCTGAAACTTCTTTCTTTGTTCTTTACTGCGGCCGGCTCCTTGGAAAGAATAAACCGGCTCCAGACATGATCAAGATCATGGAGTTTGGTAAGAGAGACGTGCCCAGCGTCACTCGGCGTTTTTGTAATTTTTGGTCTAATCTTTGCACAACCAAGTGCGAAATGCAAGGCAGCAGGAAGTAATCCCTCATCTCGGAAGTGAGAGGGTCAATGACTTTAGTTTTAAAGGGCCAGTCACATCGATCTTTGTCGCGATACCGTCATTGGGCTTATGCGGCTTTTAAACAGGAGTCAGGTGACCAGCCTGAAAATCACCACACCCTGGGATTGCCGCCGCTGTTTGTTCGCGACTGCTTATTTGTTGCGGTATACCACAACTTATTCACAGCTGAAACGGCATCGATTGGCTCTGAACCAGTATCCCGGGTAAACTGTTAAATACCTGGATGTTTTTTATTGATATTAATCTTCACTGGACCTCTCACATTCAACACATCGTCATTGGGCTTCGACGACTTTCTTTTTATATTCCTAAACTTCGTCAGTTTCGTATTCAACCAGCAATCGTTTCTAAATTTGTGTACCAATGTGTTTTCCCCGTTTTACTTTATTGTTCACCTGTTATTTTCTCCATTCTCTTAAAGAAAGATTTCAAATTGCTTCGACGTGGATTGACCATAGCCGTATCTATTCAATCCCACTGAAGCAGTTGGTAACTAACTATGTGAACGCAATTTGAATGCATGTGAAAAGTTTGCACATACGATTCTTAAAGACTCCACACAGATCTAACTTCCTGTTGTTTCCATTCTTCAACTAGATCCCAATATCGTTGTGTTCCCTCTCGAATAAGTACGTATCGTAACTCTACAGTGCCCTCATTAGCACGTATTCTAGTTAACAAAGAACAGGTTTTCACAGACTGTGTTAACAGTCTTGGGATTTAAATCTCTTTCATTTTTATTTTCGCTCTTGCTCCAATCTGTGTATTTTTAACTGAAGTGTAGGCTTTTGCCTACAGAAGTTATTACAATACAATACCACAGTCCGAATCGTTATGCCACAGCACTACTGAAGCTACTGTGTGGTAAATGCGAATTATCAATCAAGCCTAGTAGGTTTGTGGCCAGTTAGCCTGTAACCTGCACGGAAGACCTGACTTTGTGAGAGGCTTTCGATTAGAGTTAACAAATAGTCAACTGTGTCTCTCTTCGTTGCTATCGGGCCAAATTGAACTGATTGATTATATCTGAATATGACACCTGAACAAACATGAATTGGCAATTCGGCTCAGCCCTGGCATGAGCTGGTTGGCACAGTGGTAACACACGCGCCCTCCATTCAATGGGTCCGGAGTTCAAATCCCGGACGGGACGGTGGATATGTACTACTGATGAGCTCTAATAAGAGTGAAACTCGAGTCTAGTGCTTCGGAGTGTATGGTTGACTGGAAGAGCTGAGGAATATGCGTAAAGGTGAAGTCTGAAGTATGGTCAATTCTAATCGAAATCAGTTATCCCGCTGCTCACAAGTAACTGAATCATGTACGAATTATAGCGATGTGGTCGATCCGCTTTTCGCGGTAGCTCGAGAACGGCGGAAGCCAAATTGTGTACCTGC